TTTGTTTTATTATATAAATTAAATTAAATTTTAACTAATTTGCTTTCAATTATTAAAATTACACTTTTTACCAACATTTATTGATATAACTCAATTGTGAAAATATTAAAATTTATTTGCACAAACTCACTATTGCAGCGCATCCATTTAGGCTTACTAAGAGAAAAGTAAGCTCGATCACCGTCACAAGTCTGTATTTTAATGTGTTTAACATCGCTATCTCCACTGAACTGACAATATTGACTGAACGACTTCTAGCAACTAAGTTCACCGAAGTCTTGCAATAATGTATTCATATTTATATGCAGCAAGTATAAAATATTGAATATTTCAATTATGAAGTGACCACACTGTCGTATTAAACTAAAGAGTCTAGAGAGGTACTGCAAGCCTCTCCATAGATAAGCACAGATTCTATCGTAGCCACTTAATTTTAAAAGCAAAAATATGTAGATACAAATGTATATTTGTATGCATTCATTGGATTTTGTTTTTGTAGCTGCTGCCCATAACTGCTCAGCGGCCTTTAATTATTTTAAGCGTGTTTAGAATATTTGAGGACCACAAGTGTCAACAATAATGTCAAAAAACAAACGAACGTAAGTAGATTATTTATTTCTCTTTATTAATATTATGAACACATAAAAAATATTTTGTTATCAGCGCATTAATTTTAATGAGTTATAAACTATTAAATATGTAGACACCTTTTCTTTTAAATATTTTTTAGCGCATTTGTCTAAGTTTCTAACGTTTCATTAAGAATCATCAATGTTCGGACGTTTTATTTCAACTTATGCATTTATTTCGCTTTGCACTTAAAACCTCGGAGAATACTCTATCAGTCAATTGAGAATTCAGTATCTTATATAAATATGGAACTTTTTGAGTTTTTTTGCAATAATGAAAAATTACCCAGATAAACCAACAATACTTTTACTGCTTTCGACCACGGATATGTATGTTCTCCAGAGTGTTATAGCAAATGCAATATATACTTGTAGCATAACAGAGCAAAAAAGTACTCAGATAAAAAAATTATTTTTTGGAAAAATATTTCGCTCTTACATAGTTCATTCTTGGTCAGCATCGAATTGATTCCCTCGTCTAAGAACATTGCTTTAAACAATTTAGGAATGATATTTAGGGAGAATTACTGTTTTAACCTATTTAGAGCGTAACTTCCTAGTAGTAATTTCTCCTGGTATTGTTTGAAGGCAGTACTTTTCTCTTTTAACCATCTTTATTTCCGAAGCTCAAGTTTGACGAAGCTGCTCGAACTAAAGATTTTTTGAGACTCTCTAAATTACTGTTTGGCATTCGACATGCCATGATTTCCAACTCTTGCCACAAACTGTAGTCCAATGGATTCAAATCTAGACTTCCAGACGGCCAATAATATGAACCTATGAAACCAGGAATATTACTTTTAAGCCACCGCTGGGTGGTGGTTTTTGCCTTGGTGCTGGAGCAGAATCTTGCGGGAAAATCCAATGCGTTTTTTCATAGTGCCCCTTTTTCATAGAAGCGAAGAGGTGTAACGCCTTTGCAGCAGCCCCCCACCAAACCATTACAACAGCTGACTGATGACCACGTTGAGCTTTTAGAATAATGATTTTCGCGTCTTTGAAAGTTTTTGCGTAGATTTTGTAGATTTTCTTATTAAAAACTTCTTTAACAGTGAAAATTTGTTCATCTGTAAAAAGGATACTTTGATGTGTGTTGACTGCGTACTACTAAAGAAACTTGCATCTGTTGAACCTAATTAAGTTTTGACATTGATCTGTTTCCCTTGAAATTTCCTGTTTTCTAAGGGGATTTCTGCGAATGTGTTCGAGAACAGTTTTATGGCTGAATTGGTCCACAAAGCAGCTTATATGTATTTCTGTCATCAACTCTAGACGTTTAGGAAAACGGGTTAGTAGTGCGACTTCCTCGTAATATTAAATGAAATGATTGTTTGAGAAGCTCAAAGGAGTATACACTGCATACAACTTATAATAGAAAAAAGAACGGCATTTTTTTCTGTGATTCCGTCCTTGCTGCTTGCATTAGAGACTTTATAATGGAACTTATTGCAAGACTGAGACAGAGAAAGCTTTTACTTGAGAAATTTCCAAAATTCTCTCTATTTTCTCCAGCAGCTGGGCGCTTGTAGATTTGTCTTTTGTTTCAAAATAGACCACAGTCACGCTGGTTCGATTTCCACGGATATATTTTAAGGGGTTAGAAAACGGGAAAAAGTTGCTAGAGCCAGATACGGAACCTATGGTGGATGTTCAACCAATTCGGAAACAATTTCGTATAATTTACCATATTTTTCATTGGTTTCAGGTATAACTAATTGTATTGATGAAACAGCTTCTTCTTATTATGCTCTTGCAACATGTTGCTACAGGGTATAATGGTTTTTGTTCACCAAACGGTTATATATATCACCTAAAACTAATCAAGATAGATATGGCGTTATATATATATCAGGATGACGAGACAAGTTGAAATCTGGATGTCTGTCTGTCCGTCTGCGATAAATCTATAACTAAATGCGCCATAGACATAAAATATTTATATTACAACAGAGGTGGTATGAGAGAGCTTTATATGAACCGGTGTCAAATTTGGACGGTGGTTGTGGCATCGCCCACTTTTGAGTAAAATCCCATATCTCCAGACCAGCAAATTTGGTACCTAAAACTAGTTTAACATTCCCATGTTATAGTGCGAAAATGGCCGAAATCCGACTTAAACCACGCCTACCTACCATATAAAACAACTTGAAATTCCACCTGATAATTTCACTTTCCAGTATACAAATCTAGCACCAATTAATATATCGGGATACAACTTAGCAGGAATATTGCCTTTATGGTATGCCATCTCAGGTTTGAAAATTGTCCAAATCGGACCATAACTATTCAAGCCCCCATATGCCGGAAATGTGACCCCAGCGTCTATAGCTGACTTTCTACCGAAAATAGCTGTCAATGTGTAAGATATGCTATTAAAAATAGGAGAGAATCCTTCCTTCATAATAATATGTCGGCAAATATGTAAGTTATCTTAATTAAAATGTGTGAGCGTATTTTTCTTCTAAAGTTGTATCTCTGTGCCTGAAGGTGATAAAATCGGGTGAAAACTTGCACTGGCCTCCATTAAACTAATATCAGTATTTTCAAACTTCCGGTTGACTCTACTCCTTATACCATATATTGTTGACGGTATTGGAGGTACCTTAATGAAACTCAGAGGACATCTGTTTCTATTAATAATATGTAGTAATGCTAAAAATACATAAAATCGTGTCAAACTCCTATATAGCTAATAAAAGATTTTCAAACGTCCGGTTGGCCTTATACCGTACATATCGGTCAATATGTAAGATATCTTAGCAAAATTAACTGAATGTATAATATTGGATTTACATCAGTTTAATGTCGAAAATATGTGAAATTATATTATACTACAATACATACAATAATTTCCATTATTCTAACAAACCGCTGATTGGAGTTGGTCTAGAGTTTAAGTGTAGACTCTACACCTTGGTTTTAATATCATATCTAATATCATCAATTGCAATCTTCTGGTAAACATTTTGCACATCAACTCAATATATTACAATCAATTTAGCCTCAGATATATCTCATTTGAGGATGATATTAATATAATTTTCCTTGACGGCAAGTTAAATATGATTATGAAACTAACTCAGTTAATGACCTATAATATAACTTAATTAAATACCAAGTTTGATCGTAATTCATTCACGATTTCTTCAAAAAATGAATGTTGAATTCTTTCGCAACATTTTTTACTCTTGCAACATGCTGCTACATAGTATAATAGTTGTGCTCATCCAACGGTTGTTTGTATCACCCAAAACTAATCTTGTTAGAGATAGGGCTATGTATATATAAATGATCAGGATGAAGAGGTGAATTGACATCCGAGTGACTGTCTGTATGTCCGTCCGTCCGTCTGTACAAGCTGAAAATTTAGTAAAATTGAGATATCTTGATGAAGCTTGCGATAACTCATTAAATAAACTAGTCAGAGACGTCGAATTTTACCTTCAAGATGGTAAAATTGAGTTTTATAGGAGCTAAAACAAAAATTGGACAATGGGCGTGTCACCGCCCACTTTTAGGAGAAAACCTATTCCTCGGGACCTGCTGTACCGATTTCAACCAAATTCGATAGGTGACATTCTCTTGAAATTCCTATGTTACAGTGCAAATCGGACTTCAACCACGCCTACTTCCCATATAACCCTATTTTAAATTCCTTCTTTTTAGTATGCGAATCAAGCAAAAATTACTGTATCGGGATAAAACATAGCACGAATAATGCCTTTAATGTATACCACCTATTGACTACACATTTTCCAAATCGACCCAAAACTGTTTAAAGCCCCTAGGTACCGAATATGGGGACACCAGTAGAAAAAGTTGAATTTTTCCGAAAATATCGGTCGATATGTGAGATATATATTTGAAATTCAGAGAGGATCCGTTCCTTATAATAGTATGTCTGTATGTCAAAAATGTTTAAAACGGGTCAATACTTCCTTAAGCTCTCATACATCTAATATAAAGATTTTTGAACTTCGGGGTGACTTTATAGCGCAGACATATATCGGCCAATATTTGAATTATCTCCATGAAAATTGGAGAGCGTATTTTAATCATAACAGTGTATCTTTGTGTCTAAAGTGCTCTGCAACAATGTTTTGAAACTTTTTTTTACTTTTCAATAACTTTGATCATAACATAGTTACTTGCTTTTCCCATCAGGCTATCTAATCGTTGGTATATTTCTTCTATCACATATTAAGATCTTCCATACTTCAGGTACTTATAGGGATTAAGTTTTCTTTATCCAAGCCACGATTATATGGTGACGTTAGGGAAAATGAAGACAAAGATTTTGTTGTTTGTTATTAATTTTTAAGTTTCTTTATTACTTCAAATTGATTTCATTTAATATTTACTTATATCTTTGTTTGCAATATAAAATTGTATAAATTAAATGCATTTGATTAAAATATTGTCCAATCTATATTTAATACGTAGCAGAATAATTTTGCTTCAAGTATTTATCATATTAATGCATATTTATATCGTATTTATAATAGTAATATGCCTTTGATGCATAATTAAATACTCTTTTATGAATATTATTCAATTATATATTATATAAGTAATTTCCAGGATACTTGTTAAACCAATATTACTCAAAAAGATAATAATTATTTATTTGATGTTATTAAGGTCAAAATCCAAATAAGTATATTTATAATTTTAGTTTAGAGTCTAAAGTTTTTTAGTAACGAGTTGAGTGGAAGTTGATAGTGAGTAGAGTGATAGTTTTTTTTCGTAGCGATTTGGTCCAAAAATGGATGCTAAAATGGTTATAATATATATTTAGATTTCTTAAAAATTAAAAATATTTAATTTTTGGAATTCGTTGGAGTTTTCTTATTTTAATAAGTATAGTTTAATCACAAATTAGATATATAAAAACGAATTATTAACTAAAAGGTACACATTTTTGCGGTATACATACTTTAGAATAACGAATTGAATGCATTTTAGGTATTTTGATATATGTATGAACTTATTTTAAATATCATTAATATCTTTGATATTCTTGCAATATAATTTATCTTATAAAATTTACATTATATGGTAAGTACTTTACAACTGCACAGTTGGCGTTGCTGTATTGTAAATGGGTTTGCGTTGTTTGGCTTAAATGCAATCGTTTCTTCGCGTTCGGAATATTTACTTTAAGTGTCATATATATGTAAGTATATATATATATATAATTGTATATGCAAATATATTTACATATCTAAATATTTATTAATGTACGCATAAAATATTTTATGTCGCCATATGTTTATGGTATTTGAAAACTCAAAAGAAAGTTGAACACTATTTTTGAGGTAGTTACATAATAGAATAAAATAAGACAACAAATAAAAATGAAAAATTACTAGTATATATAACTTTAATTTACATAAGATCAAAAAGTTTTTTTGATTTAACAAATTTTGGTGTAACTTTGAGGAATAGGTATGAGAAAAAATATGAGCATCACAATTATGCTCAGCCTGATGAAGCGGTTTCATTCTGAACTGAAAAATTTGGGCTAAGAAGGGCCAATTAATATTATATAATATAATAGAGAAATTATCAAAGAGTTTCTCCGAATCGTTAATTTACTGATCACTAATTAGTAAGTCGCTTCGATGTAATAAACGAATCTATTAGTTGATGCAATTAAGATGTACCTATAATGAGTCAATTTAGCTGAAACAATTAGCATTTAACAGCTGTATAAAAACTGGTTCAAATTTATTTAATTGCGTCAATTTTCTTAATAACTCAATGAGGAGTGTTTTGGATATTACCGATACCTAAAATACTTCTATACTATACTATATACCTATATGTACATTTCGTCAGTTATATAAGTTTTTTATTCCAAAGCCGTAAGGAAGCCCGGTTATAAATGCAGATTAAGGTTTGGTAGCCTCATCAATTTCTCTGTAAAATCCAGCTTTCCGAGCCAAGTGATTACAAAAACCACCGGTATTAGCAAACACATTAAATACTGACATTTTTAGGATCTCGTTAGACCAACATTCTGGAAATTATATCTTGAAATGCCTCTATCTTTTTACGCCTGCAGTAAGACAGAGCAGTTTGAAAAGAACTTTTAGGTCGCAACTTTTATAAGAAATTATAGTAGTCGAGTATAAAGAACTAAAATTTTTAAAACATTTTTTAAATTATTAACGCTCTTAAGGCTTCTAAAGTACCATTTAATTTTTTTCAATATAAAATTTCCGAAAAGCCAAAAATTGTTTCAGAGTTTTGAATATGCATGTAGCTTAATACTTGGTATCAAATTGAAAAGTAAAAAGCTTTTTAATACTACAATACTGCTCTATAAATGTATAATTAATTACATAATATGTTGTATTTGATATTCTTTACTTACTAATTTGGTGTATTCGGTTCGAGATCACAGTAAATGTGGAATGCATTATCTGTCAAGGTTCTTCATAGTGGTAATTTGGCAAATATTATAGAAATTTTTCATTATGAAGTAAAACGAAAAAATGTAAGGGAATGAGTAACAGAATAAGTGATATCTTCAACCTTATCTTACTCCTACAGATATTATATTTATAATATGAGGAGCCACAAAACACTTCAAAATACGCTTGCAAGATTCCTGATGAAATTTTAAAACCTAGCAGCGCTTGCATCTGAAATATTGAAATCCTATAACTTCGGCAAACCATTTCAAAAGATCACCATGTTTCAAGTAACTCTACATAAACTTCGAAATAAGATCTAACTTGCGGTTTTCCCTCCTTTTTCTTCTCCCCTGATCTTGTAATAACTATTGTACCACGACGTCGTGATTATAAACTAGAAATATATATTATTTTTAGCCACTGTTAATCGCGCTTTTAGAACTCTTTAAATGTATAAAGGTTGTATGCGACTACAAAGGGTTCAAAATTTATATTCATAAGAAGCGTTTTGGCTCGGCATTTTGGCTTAGCTGCTACCTCTATTTGAAACGATATCAAACTGATTTTATTAGACAAATGTTAATCGCCTGAAACACTAAAGAATCGTAGAAAAGCTGAATCCGCACTCTGACTGTCAAACACAAGCTATAAGACGAACACACATTGGAACCCTAATTTACCAGCATTTGATTACATAGATAATTTTTTGGTAATCGTAGAGTTTGACAATCATAAAAGGTATTAAATGCCTTAACAAAATTTACAAGGTGTTACTAGTGCAATTATTGAGATAGTACTTTTACACCAGATCGAACGATATTTTTTTTATTATTAGTCCTGAGATCGTTGTAAGGATTAAGGATTTGCCACCAATTTAACATATTTGTTCTATTATATATATTCTTCTCTACCTTTTTCGATAGGTCTTCCACATTTAATATGAACAATAATGTCTAGAACTGTTATTCACTAGCTATTCGTTTCTCTAGTTACTACAGCGAACCAGCGAAACAAAGCGAACAATTTGGCGCGAGCTTAATCTAAGTATGCCTCGAGTATTATATAAAAGTATAAATGCATGTTGCGATTTTTGTATATCTACACAATATTTTCTTACTTAAGCAGCAGCAGAGTCCACACTGCAGAATTTATCCGCCATGAGTGCTAGCACTTTTTCTAGTTTTGAATGACGATCCTCTGGAGTAGCGGTGACACCATTACTTCCCCACAAAAATTTCACGTGGAACTCGGTTCTGAAAAGTTGTGTTTAAATACATAACCCACAATGCACTTACAACAACTAATGAATACTCACCTAAACGCGTCGCTGAGCAATTCATCCAATCGCTTACTGGACTCTTCAAGCAAAATCTTCGCATTTTTTCTATACAGCGATAAATTGTTCAGGAAATGACGCGCCGAGTCTAAGTGCAGAAAATTAATTGTCATGCCGAAATCGTCGGCCTTAGCCTCCCATGCTGTTATACAAGTGCCATATAGAGAACAACGATCGTCCAGATTGATATTATTTGCACTAATAATATCGATGATCGATCGATCTTTCAAGAGCGCATAGAGCAAGACATGTGGTACTGTAGTGTTTGGCGCTTGCGGGTTCGAACACTCATTCATGCTGATAAGCGTGGGTCGTAGCTTGGCTTCGAAGGTGAAAGCGCTGTCTGTGTACTTCTGGCGGAGTATGTGCCAGGCTTGTTCTAATTTTTGAATCTGTGAAATAATATTAACAGTTTTGAAATTAAATTAAATTATTGTGTACCATTCACTTACCTGTGGCATGCATAAGCCCAACATAATGGCACAGAAGCCGAAAAGATTGCCCAAAGCTGTTTTCGTTTCCACCGCAATTTGTATCCATTTGCTTAGTAACTCGGCGCGATCCAAATCCGTTTGACAGGTGAGTATTGTCACTGCGACTATTAGTTTCATGCACTGTGTGCGTTCGATTAAATCAGCGCGGAATACTTTGCCAAATGGTAGCGTGAGCATTTCCAAGCCGCAGCAGTCCAAGACATTGCGATCTTCATCTTCAGGCAGCTCTTCAATTAGTAGACCAATATCGATACGGGTTATGTGCTCAGCAATTACTTTGGGTCCAGTTTCTAGCAACATCATCTTGAAAGTGGTGAGTGCATCGCCATCCAATGGCTTATTATCCACTGATGGTAAGAGTAGTGTTATGAAGTTCTCAAAGTCAAACTTAGACACCTATAAATAAAAGAGAAGATTTTACTGCAAAGACCGAAACCAAGTTCAAGTTGGCCAGAAGTATAAAGTTTTAAAGCTGCGTTGTTTGCTTCAGGTGAACGAGTAGTGGACTACGTGACCGCTTTGTGGATCGTGGTTTCAAGACTCAGAGAAGACAATATGTAAAATCATACCAAGTATACTAAATAATCGTGTACTAAAATCATAAAAAAAGTTGTGCATACCAAAATATCTCAGAACTTTTCTTATTCAATTCGGTAACCTCAAACGGATCTATTAAATTTAACATATGGTAACCCATCACTATGCCAAGTGCCTAATCATCTTCTTCATCATCATCTTTTTAATGAATAATAATTACAAGCCACGGTACTATTCAAATTCTTTCAAATCTGTGCTTTAAAAATCTAACTCCGACTCAGTACCCTCTTACCGGCTTGAAATCGGGTATCTCCATGGTAAAAAGCTGCTCTTCTGCTGCAACCACATCAAAATCAGCAAGACTCTTCAAAGCTGCCGAAGATGCTGAACTACTCAAAAAGCGTGGATTCTTTATAATTACACCGCGATGTGGGGTAAACTCGTTGGAGTCACCAGGTATCGAGCTCTGTACCGAATCTCCAGAACCATTGCCTGAATCCGAACCACTGGCGTGATAACCAACCCCCACAATACCGGCACGATGGGCAGCTAACTGCTGTTGCTGTTCCTTCTCTTTGCGTGTCTGACTATTTGCACGTACCGGCTTCGGTGGTGGACTCGGTGGTTTCTCTGGTAGCTCGGGTATTTGTCTGCCTTCTAAGCTTGTGCTCAAGCCAACGGCATCTGAACCAAAATCTCGTGCCAAACTTGAGATACGCATAATGCTATTACCGCGAAAGTTATTAGTATTGGGGCGTGGCAATGAATGTGTGGTGAATTTGAAATGATCTACTGCCTCGGTTACTGCGGAACAGCGCGCGATCGTTTGAAATCCATTACCATGTAGTTTGCCCGCTTGCGCCAAATGCTCCAAATGGCTTTGTAAATTAATATTATCCCCACCAACTAACGATACCTCACTCGCTAGCACCTCTTTCTCTAAATTGCTTAATCGACGTCCATGATCACGGAATCCATTCGAAATACTGACGACCTCATTAGGTTGTGTAGGCGCTGCTTGTATAATACCATCAGCACTTGAGCACGATTCACTTTTATGTGATTGACGTATGCTAGTAGGCGTGACATGTGCTGGCGTGAGAGATTGAGAGCGCTGTTTCTTTGATGGCAAACGTGGTGGTATTTCGCGTTTGACACGCGGAGGTGATGACATGGGGCTATGGACTGGTTGTTGCTGTTGGGTATGTTGTGTTATAATACCGGATCCAAAACGAAAATTCCCATTGTGGCTTAGTGGAGAATTAAGTGGACTAGCACCTCGTATGCCGGCCAACATTTGTGTGTGCAAATGATTGCCGACAATTTTGTGTCCATAGAATGATAAAGGATATGTGCGATTGCAGGGATACTGTATGCGAGCACCGGAAGCTACCGAAATGGGTTTGCCTGGAAGAGACGAAATTTATTTTGGAGTTCCAAGAATATTCAATAAAGAATTATTTAAGCCAAATTAAAAATAATTACCTGAACCAACATAGAAAGTGATAAGGTCGGGCACTGCATCAAAGGCATCCTCCTCAAATTGATACTGTACGCGTTCATAGACAGTCTCGGGTTGTAAAAGAATCTGTAAGAAGTAATAATTCATGAAATAAAAATTTAATTTTAATAATATGCTTTCAATATTTATGCAGTTATTAAGTACAGCTTTACTAGAGGTTTAGCCAAGTTTACCTACATAATTCCGAGATTGTACTTTTTTATAGTGGTCAAATGCAGGGTCTTTAAATTTTAAGTTCCCATCGAAGCACTAGCGGAATTTGTGCAAAAATTAGCTCTGATATAAAAAATATTCTACTGAGAGGTTATATCATTTTAGGCCGACACGGTTCATCGAGTGGGACGAGTAAAATTTTATATACTTCCTGGAATTTCCGAGACCAAAGATTTCTTAAGTATGGAAAATTACACAGCTCTACAAAAACATAAGTTTGTTGCCCTGAATATCTTAGCAATTTTTGATGATTTTAAGGGTCTAGATTACGACCTTATTCAGGAAAATATTGAATGTGCTCTTATTTTAAAAATAATTGCATATCTAAAATTATGATAATTAATGGCTTGTTAGTAATATAAAATTAGTTGTCCAGTCATGATTTGGGTTCTGCGCACCTTTTTAACGCTTACAAACATCACGTGATCTCTACTCTCAGACTCCCTATCAAAAATATGCGAAAAATTATGCGGAAAGTTTTAAGGTTTTACTAAAATCCAACGTTGAGATATCTAGACTTACAAAATGTCTTGTTTTACTCAATAAAAACTTCTCTTATGTTTCAAAAGTAATTCGCATGCTCTCACTCTATGATGTCGCCAAGTTCGTAGAAATCGGTACAGTCTCCCAGTGAAAGTGAATGGAAGGGTAAAACATCTACGCTAAAGTATTTTCAAAATGAACTCAATGATTTAATACGTGATCAAGTAAGGAATTATAAAACAATTTATCAAAACATTGGACATTACTTTTAGTGACATTTAAATAAACCTTCCAAATTATATTTTATCAAAGTGATGTCTTTTCTGGACAATAAATCGTGGTAAAGTTTTGTGTTAATAGTCGAAAATTTCCTAGGTAACCACTAAGTACCAAATTATGAATAAATTGTTCAAAATATGTCATCTGTATACAATTTTGGATAATTTTCCGATGAAGAACAGAGAAAACAGTTCTACCATGATCTAAAAGTGATAAAAGAAAGGTGTCAATGTTGATGGTAGATTACTATTTTTCTAGTTCTGTAATAGAAGACGTTTCCTAAATAGCAGGTTATAGAATTTTGAACGAAAGCTCAGTTATTATTGGTTTCCGCTTATAGAGGGCAACTACTGTGGCATGGAAAGGGATTTGGAAGTTATCATGTTCCGAATATATTATCGAATGGATTTAATAACGACTATGCCGAGCCGCTTCAACGTAGTCAAAGCTCTCCGAATCGAGGGAAATAGTAGGAATGAAACGACATATTTGCCACCATAAAAATAACCGTTTGCAAGAAATCTGCACCGCGCTGATTCTATAATTTATTATTTGGTGTCATTCAGCCTGTTCTACTTTCGATGGTGAGTTCATTGCAAGTCTTTGAAACACATTATTCTAAACACACAATTAGCTTTTACCCCTCTCTTACTCACCTTGTTTATAACGAAATGTAGCACTTGCGTTTTGGTGTGACAGGTGAGAACATAATTGTCCGGTTGGGAAGCGCAGTCTCTTATCAAAAATTCTCCTTCCCTCTGTACAATCTCCTCGGCGCGTTGCCGTGACAGTGGTCCATGATACCAGGCATGCGAACGTAAATCCTTTGCATCCAAACTCAGCTCCCATTCCAAAGCCTTTTTCAAAGCAATTGCTTCTTGTTGTTCGCTAGACGGTGTGCTAACCGCCATGCTGTTGGGTGGGAATTGATGATGCTGCTGTAGGTTCAACTGACCGATAATGGATGTTGTAGAGCCACCAATACTACTGCTCAAGTTGCCACTTCCATCGACATTGTCCATTGTGTAGCTTGTGTTATCGGTTGCACTGCTAACGGAAGTAACCGGGTTGGTTAAATTTTTTGGTTTTGTTGTTGTCGTATTAGTTGCTAGAGGATCTAGTTCCTCGTAACTGCAATGAAGATTGAAAGATTGAACAACATTTGTTACAAGAAGCACGCGCGCGAATAGGAGGTGTTGATAGTAAAAAGTGGGTGGTGATAAGAAGCAGCAACAAAATGCAGAACAAAAACAAATCTATGGGAAATTTTCTCCTTCGTTAGCTTTGTGTTTTTTCCCGTTTTTTGTTGTTTGCTTTATTTGCCTGCTTTTCTGTTTTACTGTTCCACTTGCCACAATTTCCTGTTGGCTAACTACTTTGCTCGTATTTCAAGTGGCTAGCATTGAAAGTGAAGTACCTTTTTTCAAAGTGCAAATAATTGGTCGGGGATTTGCCTAGATCAAGGTTACAACTGTTTGCATGATAGTATGTACTTGTAGTAAAAACTTTTTAATTCGATACGCTAATAAAAATTGGGCAAAGTAAAATGCACTGTTTGAACTCAGCTCCATTCCGAACATATACTCAATCATAAAAAAAAATCACGGTCTACCAATTATTAAATCCATTTCGCCGAAAAAAGTCTTGAACACTCTATAACAACTTATACATAGGTATGTGTGTCTAAAAGCAATTCGTTGTCGTTTCCAGTAATTCAGAATTTAAGTTTTAATTTCCATATATTTTAATTATAAAAAATCGGTTTTCTTTTCACAAAAGTATACACTCGCCGTCTGACTCGTTCTGTAGCTGAATGAAAACTCGCCATACTTGCTGGCCCTGCCCAAAAGGTATTTTTTGTGTCCGCCTGCCCTGCTGCTACTTGATTTTCATGCCGCAAAATACACGCTTGCTTCTCACAATCCGTGATAAAACAGACTCACACACATACACGCGTAGGTAATACTTGAATTCTCTTCATTTTCAGGTATCCTTTTGCTCCATAGCTGCTCTCGCGTTCGCATTCGCAACATTACAACTCCAGTGTCAGTATTCTAATGCTCCAAACGTTCAAATTTTGTAACACCCCTAACCTATTGTAAACCAAGAAAACCCACAAAGGAAGAGTTTTGCTTATCTTTAGCTGTCAAAAGGCCGCCTTCGAAAGTCTTGTTGTTATTCATTCATCCCTCAGGTTCCCAATTGATTTTGACTGACAGTGAATTGTGAGCACAAAGGATATTTCTCAATTGTTTGTCGGGATGACGCATGCGCATATCTCGGCGCTACAATGCTCCTGAACGGTATGGACTACTGTTCAGATGCAGATTTGTAAAAAAAATTATACAGTTGAAAATATAACTTTTAATGTCCAATATAAATAAATATTTTAGGTCGGCTTAAGTTAAAAGTGACAATTGAATTATACAACTTAACTTTTTGGATACTCTCCTTTATATTTAAACTTAAACAATAACTAACAATCGTAAACTTCAAATAGGTATAAAACTGATATGAAGGAAACGCTCACATTTAGGCTAGAAAGAAAATTATCAACATTAACTAACTTTAAAAAGCGATTTTAAAACAAAACGTCAACAATTTTTAAAATAATAACAATAATATGTTTCGAAAGAGAATAAGAAAAGAAATTTCTCCATTTACCACTGAACAATTGGTTTGGTATGTATAAGATGAATTTTCATGTCAGAAATAGTTTCAAAAGTTTGGCATTGCTTGAGAATGGTTGGCTGAAGTTAGAAAAGTCAATATCTAAAATACAATACATGGATTTAACCTTGGTTTGATTTGATCATATATCCATAGTAGTAATCCGTAAGCGATTTCTTTTAGATAAAAGTAAGAAACGACTTGGATAGCGCTGAATAACATTATTAACACCCCATAGATTTTTACTATCGTACGAGAACCTAAGAAGTTCCATCTTTTGTTAATTTTTTGGATTATTATAAGTGATATTTGAATGTTTAACTTGGGTTGTAGCACCAAGAAGGAAACTTCGGAGACCCTATAAAATATTGATATAAATGATCAGCGTGACGAGCAGAGTCGATTTAGCCTTGTATGTTTGTATATGCGTGAACTAGTCGCTCAATTTTTGAGATATCGATCTGAAATTTTACATAAGTGAATTTTGAAATTAACGTTTTTTCTTATATAAATATAAAAAATCGCTGCTGTTAAATGCTAAATGAGTTTCAAATGCGCATCAGTAATTAAAAATTAAATTGTGGTATACTCACATCATATCCGAAGTATGAAAAGTCAGGCGCTTAGAATCTTTACTATTAGTTCTAAAATTGGAAAATGAATTACGATTACTGCAATTACGCTGCAGCGACCCCTCTATTTCACTGGAATCGCCTGATAAATACATTGGTGGACAATTGTTCTTTCGTTTGGACACCGGTCGCGGTAACGTGGATGCTATGAATAAAAAAAAAGAAGTATTTCTTTCATAATTTTAAAAATATTATTTAAACTACATAATTAAATTCTGATGGAAATGTGCAATCAATATGATCTCTAAACGAGTGCTAACATTTAAACTTACCCTCAATATTCAGCGACTGCCGGTACTTAGCTTGTGCACCCATCAAGCTTGATAGCATTTTTGCTCGATGACTGGTCTGACGTATGCCCCTGTGCTTCAAGCCAAAATCAGTTAAATCGAGAATATCTTCGACAGTATTATACATTTGGAAGTTGGCTATAATAAATTCGTTTCAGAATTATAATCGTTTGAGGGTAAGCTGTAGAAAAGGAAACTACGATATTTTTGTCCTCCCGCAATATGTAGCTACAAAGTACAATATAATAGGTTTGTTCACCTAATGGTTGTTTATATCACCTACCAGTAATCGAGATAGATATAGTGTTATATGCATGAAAATGATCACAATAACGAGACGAGTTGAATTCCGAGTAACTGTCCGTCCGTCCGTGCAAGCGAATAATTGAGTAAAAATTAAAACATCTTGATGAAATTTGGTGCATGTGTTTCCTGGCACCCAAGGGGGATTGTTACCTCAAATGGGCGGAGTCTGAGCATTGCCAGGCCTTCAAAATTTCGTTAATCGACAACGTATTAAGATAGAATACTGTAATTTGGTAGAGTGAATCGCACTAGGAAGAGGCATCTGCGGTTTCAAAACTTAAAACTTTAAATTAGACGTGGCCGCGCATCCTAATAAGTTAAATGTACATATCTCCAAAACCACTCAACTACAATATATTCCGAATTCGCTCATGATAAATATTTTTAGCATCTCCTCACACGCAGTGAAAATAAGTAAAATCGGATATTAACCCCCGGGGACGTCCACTCCTCATATAACAACTTTAATGAAAACTGCTAAAAGTGCGATACCACTCTAAATAAATAAAAAAAATTATATTGTATTTGCGGCGAATCAAAATTGGACAATGGGCATGGCACCGCCCACCTTTAGGTGGAATGCTATATCTCTGGAATTGTAAAATGACCTTGACATTGTTTTGAAAATTAGCGAAATCAGATTACTTTCCATATAAAAAAATTTAAATTCAATCCGATTTTTTCATTTTACAGTTTATAAATTGAAATTTAATGACGTTATTGTAATAAAACTTTGCAAAATAGTATCTATGGCGTCCAAATTGTCGAAATAGCACCATAACTTTTCAAGGCCTCAAATCGAGTCAATACTTCTCCTAGACCCTATATATGGGTCAACATGTTAGATATCTTAATGAAATCCAGAGGAAATGATCCCCTAGACATAATATATGCGATCACCCAAAAGCGTTTATATGGTGATGCATATTTATACGTGTGATACATATTTTAATAAAGTTAAGTGGAATATTTTTCTTAAAAATAATTGGTCTAGTTGATGTTTCTTCTATATATCCGATAATTAAATTTAGCCCCTTTGGTTAAGTTTATATTAAATATATCTCATTTGACTAAGTGAGCCTATAACCAAAAATATGACTTAAAAAGATTCCAAATTTGATTGTAATGCATCCGGTTTCCTCAAAACATGCATGCTGAAATCTTACGCCGCACCTGAAAGTATTTCCTCGTTTTTGATCTTGCAAGAGTGTAAAATGTTCAGTTACATCTGAACACCTTTCTTACTTGTTCATCTTACATTTTGTAAACTTGTTTTATTAGAAAACTGGTTACCCTACCTTTAACGGATATATTTGATTTAACGTTTTAATACTACTGCAATGTCATAGATTCTAATATTTCCGAGTGCACCTAACGCTGTTTGTAATACCTAAAACTTATCGAGGTAGATATATGTACGTATGGATAAGTGACCTATCAAAATAATCAGTAGTTTAATTTGGGGTGGCTGTCTGTCGGTCCTTGAGCATAAATTGATAATTTGATGAAATTTGGTAGACATATTCATTTACGCTCTGAGGAGGTTGGTATTGCAGATAGGCGGAGATAGCCCATTACCACGCCCACAAAATGCCGTTAAGCGAAAATAATACGGTATATTTTATTATATACATATAACTTAGCAAAAATTAAAATACAAAATTTGGTACAGGGAATCGCAGTAGCGATCGACATGTGTAGGCTCAAAATTTGGAAAGTGGGCATATTTTACAAACTACTAGCTATAACTACTAGATATAAGAACCAAACTTGCAAAGAACAAGTCATTCTAGTGGCTTTTTATGCATTGTGAAATAATATGAAATCGGACACTCCCACTCTTCATATAACGGTTGTGTTAAAATCTACTAAAAGTGCAATAACTCAGTAACTAAATATGTAAGAGGCATTAAATTTTACACTCAAGTTGGCATGAAGGAGTTAATAGGAGGTATTGACAATGGCCGTAGCACCATCTTTAGGTGAAATTCTTTGCCTTAGGAATTATATATTTCAATTATATTATTTCAACATTACTTCCCATATATCATAATTTTAAATTTATATATTTATTTCACTTTACGGAATTAAAATTTAAGCACCATTGCAGTTATTGGAATAAAACTTTGTACAGAGAGTGCATTTAGAGCATGGCGTCTAATACCTAAAAATTATCAAAATCAATCAATAAATGTTCATGCTCCCAGATACCGAATATGTAGCCCTCACTGTCTATAACTGATAGCATTATGAAAATATACGTAAAGCTCTGTGCGTTTATGCCAAAAATAATATCTCCTTTTTTTAATTAAATGTTTTGTTATCTGACAATATTTCATCGACGTGGGGCCTTACAAGCCGAACGTATTTTTTCTTTAATTCTTTCTCTTATCCTTTTCTTACTTTGTCTATACTAATGCTGATCACTGACCTGTTATAGCATTAGTAGTATAAATATGTTCAAAGAAAGTTATAAGTGATATTTGATAATTATAAAATCTAGTTTATGAGCTTATTTCTAATTTATTAGAAATTTATATAGATGAAATAAATATTAATTATTCTTTACAATAAGCCCGATTTCGAAGGCGTATGAATAAATTTTGTTTCCGGATTATCGTAATAAATACAACCAATCAGTACAACAAAAAAATAAATTTCGTGAATTTCAATTTCGCTCACGTATAATTTTTCCGTCATGGTTTCAAAGAAAAGTCAAGGGGTTTTCATGAATGCACAATCTAGAAAAGTTTTGGGAAATTACTTTTTAATACGGCGTATAGTCTTATTGATTTTGTAATGCTCACTCGAACATTAGACTTAAGGCTTATAGGATGAACGCAGACTTACATATCCTTATATGATATTGAAGAAAATACTATGCTAGTTCAACATTCTTTAAAATAAATACTGAAAGAAACAAAAACAATTTTTACCAACACAACACATTAAATCCGCTCGGAGATGTTGGCCAGACGAGACTTTGTCCACTCACTTATACATATCATTACTTTGGAAAAAATCCGCTCATTCTCCAAAATTAGATACTCGACTTATTTGCTTAATATTACCCAGCTATCGATTTGTATTAACCGTTAGCCATTACTTGTTCGTGCCAAAGATGGTACAGTTATGTTTATAATATGTATGAGATTAATTCCGTCTCAAAAATTCACAAGATGGAGAAGGGAATACTAACTCAAAACAATGATAGGAATCAGAAAATAACCAGTTTCAATGGAACGGTCAAACTCAATAACACGAGTTGAGATAGGTTGGGCAAGGTTTATATTCTCAGTACACCTTATATGGCCAACCATATTAATGTATGTTATATACATTCTAAAAAAAAATGTTCCTTTTCAAACTCTAAAAAATGTATTGTATATTTAATTTGCCACAAAGTTCATAACAACCAATAGTAAACATCGGAGACCCTATAAAGTATATATGTATATAAATGATTAGCGTGACGAACTAAGTCGATTAAGCCATATCCATCTATCTGTATATATGCGAAGAAGATGTTCATTTGTCGGTACCATCGATATCAGGTCACTATAACATATAACTGTCATAAACACATACCTCAAATTTCTTGTATGGAAAACTATTTTGATAGACAATTTATCTTCACGAATATTGTCATAGATTATTGTACAAGGCAACGCTACAATATCAAAATATGTTGCTCAGATCGAACCACTTTAACATATAGCTGCCGTTCAAACTGATCTATCAAAATCAATATAAAGATCATAAAAGATCTATTTTCTTTATTAGGTAACCTTATTTCGATTTGTGGCTTGCTTATATCAAACAACGTGGTTAGAAAGAAGTATGTTAGTAAACGGTTTTACGTTGGATGCAAACCGTTGGCCGGGAAGATTTTCAGATTTATTTATACACAGTTAACGTTTTTTTTCGTAAAAAATTCTTCATTAATATTCTTGGAATGAAATTTAAATTTATTACTCACTTTCATACTGTTGCAAACCGAGCAAATCCAGCCAATTCGAGATACTCATCTTCATATCATAAACGATCGTTGTTGTTTGATCGCGACGCTTCATTAACGGATAACGGAAGTTCCACGACATACCTTTGTTAATAATTTTGTAAGCTATTAAGCCTATTTCTAGTCAAAATATGTAAAACCAAGTACTCACTTCCACGACGCTGAGCCATGCCCCGGGCATCGCATTGTCGTGTTTGGACATTTCCCATATTGTTGTTACTGTTGCACACTTTTCACTTTTCGACAGCTGTTAGCAACACTCAGCTGTTCAATTGGAAATTATTTGAAAGGTTGTCCTTTGATTCCGTTTTGGATTTTTATAACCGTACAGACTATGTGTATATTTGTACTTTCAGCATTTCACGCTCGCTGATCCACACTCAATGCCGCATCGCGATCAACTATTAAAGTATTTCTCAATACAGTTTGATGTGCAACTTTGGGACGACATTTGCGTGTTCTCTTAATTTTTGTTACTATAATATTTTGTTGGTTTTGTTTTTGTCATTTTCTCATACAATTTTTTTCAGCAGTTGCATAGTGGTGGTGGATGCAATTGTAGTGGTTGCTGTTATTTGACGCACTCCATTCCATTCAACCGTCCGCACAATGGCAATGCAATCGGGTATTTTCATTTCTATTCTCTTTACGTATTTTCTACTTATTATATATAAGCATATATGTCGGTATTTATATATTATATTTACTTTACATATTATTTTAGAAGGTTTTATCAACTTACCATTTATCTGGTATGTTATTTTAATATCGAGTTTCGCTGATCGCAGCGGAATTCCTTCAATTAGCCAGCGTGAACTTGACGCGTTTATACTTACTACTCGTACATACTACAGCTTTGGGCATGTAAATAGAATACTTTCTGATATACTGTTAGTTGATTTTTTACCAAAATAAATTGCTCTTATAAAAAATTGAACTGTACCACAAACATAATATATCTATCCTTATCGTAGCATATTAACCTTAACAACAAATTAGAATGCATAACGAATTTTTACAAATGAAAAGGCTTTGAGCGTCATGGGTGCCACGGTTATTTAAGGATCGACAAGTCATCGATTATAAGAACGAGTTTCAGCGCCGATTTGTTATAATGGATGAAATACACCCTTGAGCTCCAGCTGCAGTGTGCTGAATGGTTGTTGCTCGGTGAAAGTCGGTCAAATCGCCAGAAAACGCTACAGTTCGCCTGTTTGTATAGAATTATTTTAATCGAATTTTTGAAACATGTGGACCCCAGTGCCTATAGTAGACTTTTTAGCGAAAATATCGGTCAATGTGTAAGATAAATAATTGAAATACATATAATAAAATAAATAAATAAATCTCTCGATAATAGTATGTCTTTGTGTCAAAAATGGGTTGAATCGGATCAATACTTCCTTAATATAAAATTTTCCCAACACCTGAAGTAATTTCCCGGGCTTTGATTCTTGCAAGTTGTGTGAATATAAAATGTTCGTTTCTCCCGAACTTAGAACTTCCCTACTTGTTTATATTAGATCTTGTTATTTTTGGATTTTTTAGATGAGAGAAGCAACACCATATAAAACTATTTCTCAAAGTTTTATTTCAATATCTTCATTGGTGCTTAATTTATATATTGTAAAGTGAAAGAATCTGATAGAGTTGAATATTTTGTTAAGCGGAGAGTTGGTGCGGTTATCATCAAATTTTGTAACATAAAGATCTGAACATAATGTTATGAACCAAACTTCAAATTGATTTAACTGATAAGATTTCACTTGAAAAAAGACGGTGCAACGCCCATTATTTATATTGTATACCAATTCAGATGAAATGAAAAACGGCAGTATTATTAAATTGTGTCAAAAGCCACTTCTGGAAGCTTTTTGCTCGTGTGCTGGAGCAGAAACTTTGCTGGAAGATCCAATGCTCTCCATCGAATAGAGAATTGCTTTACTGCTTTACCACGTCTTATACCACATCCGGCTGGTACACTTTTGCACCAGTTTTAACCTCTTTTCCACAAAAGCGAAGCGGTGTATTACCTATACAGGAGACAGGAGACACCAAACTTTTACAGCAGCTGGATAGTGACCACGCGAACCCTTCGAATACTATTTTTTGCGACTTTGGAATTTGTTTTTGGTAGATTTTGCCATTTTGTTATAAAAACTTCGTCAGAAGTAAAAATAGCTTAATCTGTTGAGCTTAATTTGATTCAAGCTTCCTTGCGAAAATATATATTCAATCCCTAGACATAATTTCTGTTTTTTTTAAGGGGATTTCTACGAATGCATTCGCGAATAGTTTTTATGGCTTATTTGGTTCACACCTCGCGAGGTCGACCACTTTTCTTTCTGACATCAATAGTAGACTGCGGTAAACAATCATTATCGAAATATTAAGTTTCTTGAAAAGCGCATACATTTTACTTGCGCTTTTTTTACACTTACTCATATGTAAAGGTATCATCATAACACAATTTTCTCTAGCTCCCCACTTCGTTGTTAATAAGCGAACACTTAAGTGATTTGTAATCACTGTATGCATTGTAAACTTTGCAACAGAATTTATGGCAAGACTAAATATGTTGTAATGTAATAAAGTTTTTATAAAAGACGAAATCTTACCATTATAGTAAGTACTTCATTTTCTGTGGTCTTTAAGAGAAGTTTGGCTGGAGTTTTAAACAATCTGTTATATAGAAAAAGCTTTTGCAAACGTTCGCACCTCGAACGACACTGCAAAAATTTCGATGTCTCGTTAATATATCTCATCCGTTCAAAGTTTTGACTTTTTGTCAGACAGCAATAATAAACACATCTCAAAACCAATTGTTATTATAATCGATGTGAATATTTCATAAATGTAACTGTAATGAAGACTTAACAGCAATGGACAATGTAGAGGGAAAGATGATGCTTTATGAGAAGGTTTGAGAACTTCTAATTCATACCATTATTTATATAAATGATGACCACTACACAACAACAATAAACACGAAACACAGCAATAGAGTATACATAAAAACAGAGATACAAGAAATTATCCAAAAACTTAATTTCATTTTAAGATTTCATTATAGAGATATATTACATTACACATAAACACATTTACTTTTATTTTCATACACAAAAAAATTAACAATATCGTAACAAGTTTATTTTAATTAAATACTAATAAGTAACAAAAACTGTAAGAGTAAATAAATATGTATGCTTTAATATAAATTTCTTTTGGTTTCTTTATGTTATTGAGTATTAATACGAGTACTTTTGTTTGTCTCTATATACAACTAGCGAGTAGTGTAAGCAGAGAAAAATATATATAATTCATTGCACCACATCAATTTCATCCTCATTTTCACTTAATTCACCATATGACGAATCGTCGCTGGAATAACCGTCCACGACGTGCTTTTCATCATTAGCCGCTGGTGCGTTACTCTCCTGCTGTTTGTGTGTGGATGCCGCACCAGTTGCAGATGCTGACGGTATTTGCTTTTCCTGGCCACTTTTGAGATTTTCGCGCGTGTGTCGCCATTTCATGCGACGATTCTGGAACCAGACCTTAACCTGGAAAAGTTTTTAGAATACCGAAAATTTGCACAAAATACTATAGATAATTTTGCCTCTACTAACCTGCGCATCGGTTAGGTTAAGGCGCGCCGCGAGTTTACGCCGATCGGGCTTCGTTATGTACTTCTGCTGTTGGAACTGTATTTCGAGTCCTTTACGCTGCAAATTGCTGAATACTGCACGCGACCAGGAGCGTTTCCGTTTGCTGCCACCACTGTTACCACTCGCACTACTGCTATTGTTGTTACTGTTACTCATACTAATATTACTACCGTTCGCAGTTGTTAGTTGTAGTTGTTGGGAGGTGTTACTGGTGGCAGCGTGGCTTGACGTAAGATTTGTCGTTTGAGTCCCATGGTGAGGATGGTGCTGTCTGTGGTGATTCATAAGGCTAGCGGTACTCATAGGAATGTCCAGTAAATGATGCGCATGTGTCTTTAATGTGGGGAAACGTGCTGAGAGCGTCGGTGAAGCAAAGTTTTGCATATTCAGTGTGGGATGGTGGAAAGATTTAAGGCCGAGACTGACAGCGGTACCAACACTTGTCCCACCCAGATTTTGCAACATTCCTGGCGAATTGACGAGCATTTGTGCGTGTGTTGTAATGGATTTTTGTTGCTGTTGTTGTTGGAAGCGCAGAAGTGCAGATGTGGCCATCGCGGAATATGGTGTGTGCAGCTGCACTGTAATATTAAAAAATTTTTATTCAAGTGGATGACTTTTACTATAAAAAAAATAAAAGACACCCTATAGCATTTTTTCGAATTTCATAAATATTTGTATTTGGTAGTTCTCATTAAGTACCTATGAGAGAGATCTTAATAAAGTCGAAAGAAAAATGTAAAAAACAAAACGTTAACTCTGCACCGAAGCTATAATACCTTTCACTTGTGCGTTATTTATAGTATAGTTTTATATATACATAAGGGTATAAAAAGATATTTTTTCCAATTTTTATAGGTTAGTTAGGGTGACAGCTATTAGCTAGGGTGGTCTGATCTGAACAATATGTTTGCTAATTATAACAATGCCTTGTATAATAATTTATGCCAAATTTCATGAAGATACCTTGACAAATAAAAGAGTTTTTCAAGGATTTGAGATTGATCGGTAAGTGGTATGGCAGCTACATATTTGCTATCGCTATTCGATCTACTCAATTTCTTCGGAGATTGTAGCAATGCCTGGTGCAATAATCTTTGCCAAATTTCCTGAAAATTCCTCATAAAAATAAAAAAATGTTCCATACAAATACTTGATTCCGATCATTCAGTTTGTTTGGAAGCTATATGCTAAAGTTCTCCTATATCGGCAGTTCTAGCAAATAAGCAGCTTGGTAAGAAAGGGACGTGTGTAAAATAACAGACCGATATCGCTAAAACCAATAAAAACTTAAAGACTAGTTCGCGTAAATATAGACGGCAGACAGACGAATATGGCTAAATCGACTCAGCATGTCACACTGATCATTTATAAATATACTTTTAAGGTCTCCGACATTTCCTTTTAGGTGTTACAAACATTGTGGCAAAGTTCAAATACCCTGTTCAGGGTATAATTATAGGAGTGTTCCTGGATTCCAAAATCAACTAAGGGGATCATGGTTCGAAAATATGCATTACGATTCCGAGAATAATCTTATTTACGATCTGTTTTGAAACCAGGATGGATTATTTTTAAAAACAAATAAAAATCATAGCAGGATGAAACCCATCTAAAACGAAAGATAAAAGAACAAATTTAAATGAAAAATAATTGAGGCAAACTGCGGTTGGAACAGGAGGGGGAGGGCCGTAATTTATTTTTTAAGGGTCAAAAACGGTTTATCTCGATTTCCGGCAAAACTACGAGTCCTATAGAAAAAGTTATGTAGTAAAGTTGTAGGTAATGAAAAGATCTATAATTTTTATGTAACCTAAACATTTACGTGAACAGTTCAAATGATCAAGTTTTTGGGTTTTTTATTTTTAGTTTATACAAACAATTTTTTTTAATGAAATTTGGTAAAAACTTTCTTCCAATTTTTATATATTATATATATTTTTTTATTTAAAATATTTATTTTTTCTCCTTATTTTAATATATTATATATTTTCAAAAATACAAAAAAGGACCACAGTAAACGATTCGAAACTGCTTTTTTACTGCTGCTACTATGAAATAGCAGGTTATAGATGAAATACAAAATGCAGCAATATTCATCGACAGATTTTGGCTCATTATGTCAGCACGTAGTGAACGTAAAAATTACTTTCTGGTTACTTAGGGACAGACTGTGAAACAAACTATTCAGTTTCTGCAACTTTGCGATTTCTCGTTCAAACTCAATAAAAACGGCGGCGAAAATGAAGAAGAAATATTTGAACCCCTATTAACTAAATAAAAATTAGAATCAGGTTTGCAAAAAACACAGCTAGGCTTGCTTTCATATATCATCAAATTGAGGGATGCACCCAGTGTGTGAATTCGAAAATACATGTTTTTGTTTTTGCCTATTTCCATAGTCTATACCTTTAAAAATAACACATTAAAATTTTAAATGAATATTTCAAACATGTTTTGACTTACAGCTTCCTAGTGTAGCGGCTGAGTTCAATACAATCTCCCTCCAGTTTTTCGAATATATGAAAAATCATATTTTGGCGGCATAAAATTCCTCTAATTTTTGAGCCAAATTCGACGGTTTTTCAATTTTGGGCATTTTGTTCAATTTCAATTTTTATTTACGATCGTCATTGCTACAAAGTTTGTAACACCCAAAAAGAAACTTGGACCCCCTATAAAATACATATATAAAGGATCAGTGTGACGACCGATATAGCGATGTCACGATCTGAAATTTTGGCCTAGTCCTCTTCTTTTCAAGGAGCTGAAAACCTTGACCATCAAAGACGATGAACGTAGTGGAATTCCAAATAATATTGGTCGAAAGCGTAAAAGAAAAAATTTGGTAATTGGCTTTGGATCTATTCATTCGTAATACGCCTGAATTTTTGAATCTGTTCTTCTTCACTTTGATACCTGACGGAATTAAATTTATTAAAGGAACTCATCGGTTTGAAAATGAGATTATTTTTTCCTTGAAAATACATTTTCTCTCATTTAATTATTCAATGTTCATCAAATCACTATTTTTTAAAATCGTTAGTTATGCTAAGAGGTCCAAATAGACGCTGAAAAGTCCCCTCAAAAATTCGTTAAAAAACTTATTTTCTTCTCTTCAGACAATGATTCATGACGATTAGTGGAAATCTATTAAACATAAACTTTATCATAAATCTATTTTAAAGGCAAATGCAATTCATTAAAAACAAACGCCGCAATTAATCACCACTTATGCGCTAATTAATCGGAAACATTACATATTTAAATACATATGAATGTGGTTTCTTTTCATCTGGAAAATTATACAACTTAGCTATTTAGCGAACTTCTGCCTTTCAGTCATTTAAGAAAATAAACAAACCATAGAAAAATAAAATAAAAATCAGCACGATTTCGCTAAATCGAAAATCAAATAAAATCAAATCAATTACGAAACGTTTGCGTACATTCATTAATAGTTCGACGGACAGATAGAATTATATATTTACATACAGATTTAAGTATATATACGTATAGTATAAGCATATCCAGAGGTATGTACTCGAAAACATGCCCAGCAGTTTCAGCTAAACATGTTTAAAAAGCAGAGAAATAAATACCGTCGACCAAATACAGTTGGTAATTAATTGTTCCGACTCGAAGCTGCAGACAAACAGAATAACAAATAAACAAACAATTCGATTAACCAATACTCATCATCAGCACCATTCACCAGTACTTAGTGAGTGAGTGAGAGTGGAAGCAACAACAACAACGACTGCGATCCGGTCGATCAGTAATGTACGCTGATCCACAACGGTGATAGATGAGGCGCCTGTTGGGGGCCAATTTTGATAAGATCTGCCTGTCTTTCGGTATGCCGACCTACCGGCCAGCAGATCAACCTGCCACACATCAGCGCCACATAATCAAATCAAATAGCATTGTATCATCATCCTCAAAGCAATAACCACAAAAATAGCCACAACACAACCTGCACCATCTCGTTATTGGTATTCAAATATTCTGAACAAGCAAAGAAAAAGAATGCTCATATTTAAGTAATGATCTTCATCATCATATTGAGGCATACTTTTTGATGCAAACATACGTATAAGTACATATGGTATATACCTATATAGGTTTATACTTTTGTGCAGACAAATGAATACTTCAGAAACCCAGCAGTGAAAGGTGGAAGCAATTACAAAATACGTGTATTAAGGAGAGAAAAGGCTTTTAAATTTTCGATTTTTTGATTTTATTTTGAATGAATGCATAACATCGCAAGAATATTGTGTCTAAATTGCAAGTCAATCGGAGCAAAATGGACGAAGCTATGAGTATTTTTACACCTGTTTTATGAACGTTTTACATCATATTACAAAACTTTGAAGCGTTTTCTCCGCAACTCTTGTTTCGGTGCACCTCATAACTGCAAAGCTACTGCACCGATCGTTTTGAAATTTTGAACGCTATTTCTGTACACAATTTACGAGATAATGCCGGAGAGTTAATTTCTAACTCGTTAAAATTTTTATTTTACAATAACAAAGTAGCCGATTTTTTCGCGAAAAATCACGTTTTATTCTTCAAAGTTTTCGAAAAAAATGAAAATGTTAGTTTTCGAAAAACCATCTCGGCGTTACCTGGAAAAAAATTATTTAACGAATGAACCATGACTTTTAGATTTCGGATAATTCAGCATCAAGTTATGAGGGACACCGCAATTGCTGTATTTTTTAATATTTCTCCATACAAAATACATACAGAATATGCTTCAAATATCATACTATAATGTACCATTCTTGTCAATAAATAAATTTCAACTGTTTTATTAAAAAATTTCACAAAAATGAGCGTTTTCACACGAATTAACCCCATTGCCTCTGAACTCTGAATACGAGAAGTTGAAGATTTTGGAACTCATGGCGCTTAAGTTATGAAGGGGTGGAAATATGTATGTAACTTCCTCAACCTACCGCAGGGCGATGTTCAAAACTGCCAGTTCATTTAGAAATATTTACGGGAAAGTATCTGTGGACAATTGAGGTTATGATATGTCTCTTTGCCTCACTATTATGCTTAATTGCCTCACTATTTGTCTGAAGAACCAATACTTAAACCTTATGTTGAACACTCACTTACTGACACAACAGTTAAATATTATGGCAGTGTATGCAACATAATAATCAAGAATAACATATTATACAAGTATATATGACAAACCGTCCAGAAGTATACCAGAAAAATTTTACCTAATCAAATAGAAAAGATCAATATCATGCAGTCTTACCAATATTCTTTTAAGTTGGTTAAAAAATCATAGCGACCTAATGCTATGTTTGGTATCGTCTAATGAGAAATTTAAAATTATTAGCCCCAATAATATACCGGACTAGACACTGATGTTCGAGAAAATATATGAGCTTCTTTAATCTATTAAATAAAAGTTGAGTTACTCGCACTGTCTAAAAAACTCCGAATGAAATTTTCAAGCAATCTTATTTGAAAACCTTCTATTCAAAAAAGAAATGTCATTTACATATTTGACAAAAGTTTACGGTATAAGTTTGATTTTCCTAGTCTCCACAAGTTGTATGTCGTCTAGAAACAGCTGATGCGTTTTTCAGAAAAAAATGCTATTCCCCAGGTACAAGCACTGTAAATCCATTATGCATTCATTCATTCTGTTTTTCTTCCTTCTTTCTACATAGACAATGAAAACCATTTATTTTGCAACTATAGATAATTTTGAAGAACAATCGACATCGCTGCTAATATCTGGAAAATTGTAAGAAATAACATAAGTATTGGTTTTCTTTTAAAATAACTTCATTGGATGAGTGAAAGATAGAAATGTTGGCTTCTCATCATTTGATTGATTGTGCCCCATCACACGTCAAATTCGAAAGACAAATTTATCCACTTCCATCCTGCACTCTCAACATGTACCGATCATAAACCCTGCAGGAAAACTGAGATGACAAAAGGCTTGTAACTGAATTACATGCCAACCAGAAGAGTAGAAAAAAAAATGTATTCAAAATAATTTCTTAAATAACGTAAACATTTTTATTACACAATATTTATTAAAATGAAGCTTTCATATTTATATGTAGCTTAAAAAATAACATGACACCATAATTACCATAAATGTGCAAAAAAGTGTTACACAGTACCCATGATATTTTCTGGAGTTGAGTACATATCCAAACAAACCCAAGGTTTATTACTGTTAATGGTGTACTGAGCCAACCAATTTGTTTCAAGAACGTATTTATGAAAGAGAACTAAGTACAGATTAAAATGGTTTGTATACACATATGTATATGTACTCGTACCGTAATTTGAAAAACAAACTAACACCCAAGTCCTGAATATTTTGGATAATTCTTAGATTAATAAGTTCATAGATTAAAGGCTAAACAAAGGCATGCCTTCAATAGGAGACTCAAATGCTGAAAATTTTATCATAAGATTCTTTTATAAATTTTCGAGTACGAAAAATATATAAGCGGTCACGAGAGTTGTTACGAAAATAAAATTTTTAGCAAAGTTTTAGTAATAATTCCATTAAAATCAATAAAAACTTCGAAACGATGAATATCGACACGGTCGGATGCAGCAAATATGAAATAATTTGCAGCAGAAAAACAATAAATTTTAAAATGTTGCCAATCGACATGATCGGTAAGCTTCTAAATATAATGCCATTATCATTGCAATAGATTCAAATACATAACATTTGCAAGATATGAAGCTGATGAGGTTGATGTTTTAAGTTATGTACATCGGATGTAATCGGTGAACACATATTTTTTTTTCAATATTTATGGATACCTTGAGATTAGGATAGCGGGGAATTTGAATCCGTTCATTTAAATATTTGTCCTCGGAAGTCAATAATAATACTCGTATATATGTATGTAATTATGCACGTCCCACCGTCGGTTTTATTAAACTTTAAATCTTCAATCTTAGAGGCTTTTTATAAAAATTGTTAAAGACTTTATCTTCAGTTAAATTTATACTTATGTGAACATTCAAGGAAGCAAGCCCATTGAGAGACTTTTGTCCCATCGTGTTCCTAAGGTACTAAAAAAACCCATATAATATTTTTCCATTTTCAAATGTTTCTCCATTTATTATGTCAAATGATATTTGTAGTCATAAGTTGTAATTGTCGATTAAAATTTCCTAGTGTGGAAGTGTTATGGTCGAAAGTAATTTACCGATAATTCATCAAGCGAATTTTTGTACATTTCGATTTTAGATTCCGTTTTTCCTTATTCTGACATCAGAAATGAAAATTTGCTCAGAACAATAGAAGATTTTCTCAAAAAATTTGTAAATTCTCAAAATTGTATTCCAAGTAATAGCAATTTTTTTAAAACCCTTTTAAGATATTCTGGATGCGCCCACGCACAACGGTCAAAATTTTCGTAATGAAAGGCAATAATGTTTGTTTATCGTCGAGATCTAAACCACTGAGCCTCGGGAAAGAATTTAATCAGCTGATATTTAGAATTTAGTTTGTTGCAAAGATGTTGTCAATATTCTGTTGTATTGTGAAAGTAGCGGTTTGTACTGTCCTGATAAAAAGAAGAGACATTAAAACTTACCTTACTCAAAAGGAATGACCTAGAGATTGATCAATTTAGAAATTAAAAAGAAAAAATGTACTTAATAATTCTTTACGAATATATCTCGAACTTTTTTTGTGTTCATTATTAGCCTTACCTGCAGCTTAAAAAAAAATAGAATCGAGTAACTTTAAGCCTCTATCAGCTTAAACCGCTTAATTTGAGCACTCATTGTACCCACAATTTCGCAAAGCAAAACAGTAATTTACGCTCCACTTGGCTCTTTTAGAGATTGCATTAAACTGTACACAGATCAGTCTAACAACCCATTTTTACATGAAAAGGAGAAAAATTGTTCAAAAATACTTAAAATTAGTTGCGGGTTTTAAGTTTTTTTTTCTCACTCACTCACTGTCCAACTATTACTTCACACTGTCTAGAAGATAGACTTTTTCCTGCAGGACCATATGATAGTAAATTTCTAAGTGGGCTCACATTTGACCTTACGTAATTATGTATGAGTGAAAGTACAATACTATTTTACACAGTAACACACTTGCATAGGTCTTTCTACTCTTTCTTTTGCTTTGGACTGCTTTGGCTCCCCACATTCGGCGGTTCACCACAGGTCAGCTTGGCGATTGACCAATATCACTAAAATGACACAGTCGGTAATATATTTTTTTAACCACCCATTAAACAATGATCATTTAATAGCTCTTTATTAATTATGTTTGAAAGCGTGCTGCGCTGCTGGTGAGCTGGATGGCTACCCGCTCCTTTGCCATTTGGTTATTTTCTTTACTTCACTTCATTAAAGATTAGTTAGTTTAGGGATTTAAGATTTGAGTGAATGAAATAGAGAAACGTAGTTTATTTTAAATGAGTTCACAACTTTTTACCACCTTTGATCTATGACACAAAAAATTTTTTTTATATTCTTGCAATATTTTGTTAAATAGTATATTAGTTTGGTTCACCTTACGGTTGTTAGTATCACTTAAAACTATTCGATATTCTTGTAGATATACAATTTTATATATACATAAATAAATGATCAGGATGATAAGATGAGTTGACTAACTTGAGTAAAAATTGAGATATCGTAATGAAACTTGGTAGAAATCAGAATACTGCCGGTACATAACATTATCTTGACATGCCTAGGTTACAGTGCCAATTTATATTCCGTCTTATTCTTTCACTTTCCAGTATACAAATGAAGCAGCAATGAATATTGGGATAAAATTTTGCACAAATGGTGCCATTAAGAAATTCCATATCAAGTCTAAAAATTTACAAAATTGAACCATAATTGGAGCGAATATGTGGACCTGAAAAAATCGTTTCCTGATAATAGTATGCCTGTATGTCAAAATATATTAAATCAGGTCAATACTTCCCTTAGGCCCTATATACGTTATTAAAATATTTTCGAATTTCAGGTTTACTTCATACCGCATATATCAGCCAATATGTGAGCTATCATAATAGCATAAAATTAAGTGGATGTATTTTTCTTATAATGGTGCATTTTTGTGCCTAAAATTAGTAAAATCGGGTGAAAACTTACTTTAGCCCCTATGCAACTAGTTAAAGAATTTTCAAACATCCGATTAATTTTACTCATATGTGTTGGTGATGATATGTGAGATACAATACATTATGAAAATTAAATCATATCAAAGCACTATAGCATATAGGTAACAAACTAATCGCCCTTGTTTCGAAAATTTTTTATTTGAAGAAATATCTTCAAGAAATTCACCACGGATTATTATCCAATACAACGGTGCAAACTGCGAATAAATTGTTTAAATCGGACTATTATAGCATATAGCTGCCATACAAGTTGACCGATCAAAATCAAGAAAAAAATATTTTTTATCCTTTTATGCTATAAAAAATGCACCTCTGAAGTATTATAGCTTGCATGCAGGCAAAATGTAGGTTTTCTTTTTTTTTGTTTTGTAGCTACATATGTTACAAAAGAAAGGCCATATCAGATAAAGTAGTGAGTGCATGTAGTATTGAATTATATTTATGTTATTATTGTCTAACCTAAATTTAATTATATTTAATATGTTACCAGTGACTTTTCACTCTTAAAGTTAACTTATCTTTCACATTGAATAGTTGAAATTTATTCAGAAACGAATAAATGATTCATATTCTAATGAACCGAGTTTCTAAGATTACTTTTAAAATAAAAAAATATATTAAGTGGTAGTTGAAGTGCTAAAATGTTCCATAGAAAATTATTTCTTAAAAAAACTTATTAAGTTTCTGAATACCAGATTGTGACTTGGGAAGTCGTTTAACTGATTTTTCATGTAGTTTAGCATAACTTTTGACAGTGTAATAATATTTTAAATTTTTTCCGGTTAATTTATTGCACATTGCTCTCTGCTCTCATATAAAAATGCAAAGTAAGAATACGGCCTCTCACACTCAAGGAATGTATTTAATGTATGTATCAAATAAATACATTATACATTTCAGAGCAAATCTTTATACCGACAAGTGTAAATGAGCGTGTCTACACATGTATTGCACGCAATAAAAACTCATTTCTAAATATTCGAAGTAATTAAGGTAAACTAACAAAGTACATGTAAAATGCAATAATGCACCACGATGGTGGTAATTTTAATACGGAAGCAAATAAGCATAAGTCAGCGCCAAACTCAATGCAACAGCAACAATTACAATAAAACAATACCAAGTGCGCTAATGAGAGACGCAATGCGAAGAGTCAATATTTTAGATAAAATACGAGTTAAGGATGATGAACACATTACCTCGTGGAGCCAATAATAAGCGTAATAACAACAAAAAAAGATCTTGTTGATAACCACGATCAACAAATATGCATAAACGCATGAAAACACGGCGTAGGAGGATGAGAACGCGCAATGCGCGTTGAGTGGCAAATCGATTGCGCTTTACAAAAGAGAATTATATTAAACAAGCGTTCAAGTGTAAACACACACATACACATATGTGCTATATATATATGCCACGTGAGCACATGATTGTTGTGTATATAGCCGCGGCGGGAAGTAAAAGTGGAAACGCTAATTAAGCGGCAAGGCCGCTGCATCCCATAGCTGCTGGCTACGACAACTGCAACGCGGCGCGGCAGCACGTTTGTGTTTACAATAAAGGTGTGGAAAATTGGTAAACTCATTACAATTGCGGATAACACAAACCAAATGTTCCTGCCAACACATTGGCGCTGCTGCGGCACTACTCGTTGCAATCCCAATTGCAGCAAAAACAATCTGCAACGAGCGCTGGAGTAGCGCGCTCTATATGCACCGTAGTCTGCAGCTGAATGCGCATGTCATTTCGATTGGTTAGTTGGCATTCCAGCGACTAAATATATTATTTGTTGTTTTTTGCGCGCGCATTGCTACAGTAAATAAAAGTCAAAAGCACATATTTTCTTATTTAACAAATTTTTCTTTTTTTGCCAAAAAGCG